AGCACCCACCACCATTTCTTGGGCTACTCTCCTCTGATCGAATAGTGTGATTTGACCATCACTCATACAGTGTACCCCACACACCAAAGTACAGAGCATGTTTTTGCAGTAAAAGAACGATAACCGCAAACCCTTTGATACACAGACTGTGAACTTAATTACGAAACCCAATTGTTAACCTACCTGTTTTTCTGTATTATAGCTGTTGGGAATTAAAATGCATATACGTTTGTGGTGTTTCCTTTTTCTTAGATCAGCCTATATATTCTATTACATCCGAGTAATCAGCCGTAACACTGAAGTGATTCTGTGACTTCACAAATAATTTCATAAAAATAGCAACACTGACAGCTCTTTCAACACCCGTGAGTCTTAATTTTCTGTACTTTTTGAATGTCCTCCTTTGAAACAGGTTTAGAGCATAGGAACTGATATTTGAGACTGTTTATAGCCCTTTCACTGCAACGAAGACGTATTGAGTACGGCTTCTCATGTTTTACGCACATGTTTTAAGGACATATTTTCTATTCAAATCATATAAATTATCCACGTGTCAAAAGAACCACTTACCGCATATAGAGAGCAAATAACAATTATTAAGGAAACGAATGGCTAGCTTTAACCACATGCATCTAAGATTTACTGAATTCTGTCGACAGTTATAGTTCAGCCGTCCCGAATTCATGTGATTGTTCAGTACATAAATACTTATCTTATCCACTGAAACGAAAACCAATAACTCCTTTGAAGGAATATCATTGAAAGTATCTGGAATAATTCTGGCAACAATAATGAGTTTTCTGTCGAGCATGACAGAGAATAACGTAGTGATGACGTTGATGATACTGACTACAATGAATAAAAAGATCCAGACAGAATGGAATTGAACGAAAATCAAGAAGATGAGAACGCTTAAGAGAATGAACCTCGAGTTAAGCGACAAAGACGATTGGGAGAATCTTTAGTTCGATGCTGGACGAAGGCAAGGTTTATGCCTCCAAGCACTGATGCCTTTGGCTGATATTTAAATTGCCACAACAGGATTTCACGCACTTGACTATTTCAACCTCCCCGTTGAGGACTTTATCAATTATTTGGAACGTAAAACAAACACTTACGTCCAATTTCTCAGTGAGAATAACCTGAATATAAGGTATATGATAACCAGTAGAGAAATGAAAGAGTTTCTTGGGTTGAAATTTTATATGGGTATTATTAAGGGGCCAGTCTTATTTCATATGGGTATTATTCAGGGGCCATTCTTACAAAAGCATCTTAGGAAAGAGGTTGTCCTTAAGACATAACTTAGGAAATATGTGTTTCCTAAGATTGCTTCATGAAAGGCTTTATATTTTTAGAACATTTTAAAGTTGTTTCCTAACTTTAGGATAACTAAATAGGTGTCTTAAATTAGAATTAAGCATGGCCGTGTCTAAAATTGCATACAACAATTATTTTTATTTTCAGATATTTTACGTTGATACATTAAAATTGGCCTTGTGGTGAGGGCGTTAGACTCGCTATCTGTGGGTTGCGTGCTCGAATCCCGTCACCAAACATGATCGCCCTTTCAGTAGTGGGGGCGTTATAATGTGACAGTTAATCCCACTTTTCGTTTGGTACAGATAAGCCCAAGAATTAGCTGTAGGTGGTGTTTACTAGCTGCCCTTCCTCTAGTCTATCGCTTCTAAATTAAGGACGGGACGCGCAGATAGCCTTCGGGTAGGTTTGCGCGAAATTCAACAAAGAAAGAAAAATATATTAAAATTATTTTTAAGTAAAACATGTTTAACTGAAAACATCCAAGGGAATAATACAACTTGTTAGACAAAACTGAAACATCTATCGGTTTCAAAAGTATTCTATGACTTATAAAGTTTTCGATTATACCTTTTTCATAATTCACTGAAAAAAAAATCTTGTTAAAATATAAAAAAAAATATCTGTTATATTAATGAAAACTAAGAAACGTGTGAGTAATAAAACCTTACAAATTCTATTTAAAATAACTGACCATTCAATATACTATATTCTTAAGATACATTTTAAGCCGCTCTTAGACAAGATATTACTAAGATAGCATTGTGAAACAACTTATAAAACATCTTACAAAATTCATTAGTTTGATTTTAAGTATTGACTTAGGAAAGAACATAAGAAAGATCTGAAGATATTTTCGTGAAAATGATTCTGGAATCAAAGACTGAAATGTACAAGTCAACTTATACATTGTGCAATACTCCACTTTTCAATTATGTGCTCCGCACAGAGGTTTCAAAGTGTGTCAGCAGTGAAAGGGTAAATTTTCATTAAGCCTTATTGTAAGGTTTAAAAACGTAAATATATTTGTCATTGAAACTTATAAACTCTGTTTTGAACTTCAGCTTGTCCGCACAATCAAATTGGTTAACAAACATTCTAGTGATTAACCTTGTCCAATAGCATTTCTATTGAGTGCATTTTCTTAGTTCACAAAAGAAAAGATATTAAAGTCTTGATCTGTCGACTTTATTTAAAAACAAAGAAAAAGCTAATTTACTTGCTTTTATAGATCACCCACATAACTGCCAGTATAGGAAATCGTCCACATGATTGTTAATTAGAGAAACGATGAGTATTAGATTTGTTTTCTAAATAACCAGCTCTATATCAGCCGTAAATTGAATATGACCTGTTAGAACTGAGTAGCAAATAGTAATTATACTTTTATTGTTCACATGGTAATATTGCAAAGAAAACTACACAAAGATAAAATCAAGATAGAAGTATATACATTTATATATATATATAGGTCATTAGTGGACTGGTGATTATTGTGTTCTCGGACTGTGAACCTGAGAACTCATGGTTCGGAACCTGATGTTGCAAAAAATGCGCCTTGCACATGGGACAGGAGTCGTTATAAGAGAAACAGTCAAATTTCCACTATTCGCTCAGTCAAGAGTAGCCCGAGAGTTGGCGTTGGGTACTGTTGTCTAGTTGCCTTCCCTCTAGTTTCTAAATTAAAAACTATAGCCCTACTGCAGCTATGTAGATTTGTGCGAAATTCTGAAATAAACAGAAACACACACACGTATATACAAGACGCTCAACGCTCAATCTTCAGGTCGTGGGATCGAAACTCGTCACTCAACAAGCTCACTTTTTCAGCCGTTACGATGGAACGGTCAATTCTACTATTGGTTGGTAAATAGTAGCCTAAAAGTTAACAGTGGGTGTTGTTAACTAATTCCTTTCCTCTAGTTTACCGCTTCTAAACTAGGGACGCCCAGCGCAGATAGCTCTCAAGTAGCTTTGCACGAAATTCAACAAACAAACAAATGTTTATGTATTGTTTTTGTTTAATTTTGTTGAAGGTTTGTCCAGTTTATCAATTCAGCCACTGGTGATACTAAAGGTTGTTAATATCATGACCGAAATTCAGGAGTCTGAATCCAAGTTCGTTGAAAAGATTTGTGTTTTGAAACGTATTTGATTGTCATATGCTCTTGGTCTCCAGCCAGACGTTGAAATAACGGCAAAGATTATCCCACATATGAAAGGAACCATGAGAGATTTGCAACTTGATATTTGCCACAAGACTCAATTGTCTTACAAATTAGCATCTTGATCCCTCCAAGCAACACTAATTGTATGTTTAGTACATATATATATATATATGTGAAATCCTAAAGGTCAAATCCCCTTGTAAACTTATGACAAAATTGATGTTAGCATTTGAAAATGAATTCACATTTTCTTTTCAGTATAAGAACTGTTTGGATGTTACATGCATAATTTATTATTATTATTTGTGATTATTAGACCCGACAGAAAACATATGTATCAGAGAAATTTTACAATCCCTTTTCGTAAAAAGAACAATTATTTTTCAAAGTACTCAATGAATCTTATATCATTTTTCCAAACAACTTTTAAGACCAATTATTTTCCATTTATTCATAAAAAGGAAATTATGTTTGGCTTCATTGAAAAATTAGAAAACAAAATGTTGATTTTGTTAGAATGCACTAAAAAAAACATGATACATTTGCATCGACTGCGGTGTTGCCTTTTGTAGAATTTCGTTTCGAAAGGTCCAAGGTTAAAGTCGGAAATACACCGTAGAATATGTTCCGCATTTTCAGCCGTGGGTGCAATACAACTGTGACAGTCTATAACGCTAGTCGAATAAGAGTAGGTGCGTAAGCGTGAGGTGCTTCTGACTGGTTGTCTTTTGATTTGTTGGATTTTTAAATTAAGAATGCCTATGCCATAACCTTGGGATCTTTGACTTAGCTGTTCAGCTCGTGTGTATGATAATGTTATACTCTGGCTGAAAATTTGAAATGCATGCAACATTCTATTTTTTGCTAATATCTTGAGTTTTTATATAGTTTCCTTCCTGTTAATTTTCCCAATATATTTATCATTGTACCTAGTTTTACTTTTTCCAGTTTTCCGTAATTCTGTCTACGATCTGGAATTTCCATAGCCTTTATTTCCGTTTATGTCTCCAAAAACGTTATCTTTTTATCCAATTTTCTGTCAGGTTTGCCTTCGTTTTATTTCTTGCTACTATCCGTAATGTCCATATGTATATATATATATTTATATATTTATTTATTCCCTTTCATTTCCCCAATACCTTTAGTGTTTTATCTATGTTTATTAAACCTTCATTGTTTCTTCTTTAAAACTATGTTGAGTTTCTGTGTTTTTTTGTGGCCATTCTTTCCTGTTTGGTTTTCCAAGTCAATCTTATACAGAACGAGTTTGTTTTCTTGTCATGTATTAACCTGTGGTTTTTCATAACATCAGCTTACAAATGAAATTTTTACGTTAGCAATAAATTATTGTGCATAAACCTACAATTTAAATTTATGCAGTCTATGTAAAATATGGGCGTCAACGTATGTTAATATTTATTATTTGTTTAGGATTTTAAAGTATAGGTATTATTTCTTCTGTATGTATATGTCTGATAAAACTATGTGAATAAATACAAACGATCTTCGACGTAAAAGCAACAGTAATAACTTTATTGGAGCTCAAACATTTCGTGATACCTGCTAGAACCGGAATACAAGGAAAACATGAACAACAGATTAAAATACTAATGCTAATTCCGCTTTCTGACAAGCCGTTTGTATCACGGCTTTTAAAACATTGGAAACTCTATACTTAAGAAGTCAAATGATGAACAATTATAATGCTGACCTTATACATCATACGTAACGAACTTCGTAGCATGTTGTATGTTATGCAAGTTGAAATGAGAGTGTTGACATTAAACAAGCTGTATGTGTTTTGTGTTACATAGTTTACTGTTGATTCAATCACCTTTGTGTTACATGCTATAAAGTACTGTGATCACTTTATTCGTGTTGGATGTTACATAAAGCGTCACGTTATTTTTAATCAGAGTTGTGTGTTGACCTTTAAACAGATTCACTAGAAGTTGCGTTATGAAGTACAGTGTTGAATCAATCTAAACTGTGTTTTTATGTTGTGTGTTAAAAATAGAACTTTACCAAAGCTGTGTATATTTTGTTTGTTATGAAAGTACAATGTTTAATTTCATAAGGGCGTTTGCTTTGTATATTGTACAGAGTACAATGTTGTCTGATGTGTGTTTATAGAATGTATGATCTGTAGGTGTTGACGTTACTTCAAACTGCAATGAAAATTATAGCAGCAAAAAACAACAACAAAGAACTTGATCTCCATGAAAATGTATGAACAGGTTGTTGAAAGATATAAACAATTATTTTATGGTTTTTATCTGCATGACTCCATATCATGACGTCATCTTATGATAAGAGAATAAAACACATGAATATAAGAAAGTTAACATGGTCTAAGCATGTTCCAGAGAAGAAATTGTTATATGATCATTCAGGTTAACAGTTAAATTAATCAATGCCTTTCGAGAGATTAACATTGTATTCCCCGCTATCGTAAACGTAAATCGTTTGTTTCATTTCTTTATTGTATATATGATGACAAGCAAATGTGTTTCACTAAATACAGAAACCTATTTGGGTTAATGTAATTTACTCCAATGGTAAATTATTAATGTAAAGTTTTCCTCGAGTATTCATCTTTGTCTTCTAATCTGACAGGAGCTTGAAGATCATATACACAGGCAGATCTGTAGTACATACACAATATGGTTTAATTTCAAATGTACAACTGATTCCACTAAGAAACTGTTAACTTTATTTTTATACTTTGACAATACATCTGGAAAAAGAACTACATTTACTCTTCAGATAGTAATAAAAACATTTTTATTTCAGCCAATGTTTCGCATTGTGGCTTCATCAGGGCTAGTAGTACAAGAAGCTGCAATGGCGAAACGATGGCTGAATTAAAAAGTTTTATTGTTATCTGGAGAGTGAAGGTCGTTTTTTTTTTCAACTTTATTGCCAAAATGTCTAAATCTCTCCAGTATGTCCTACAAGTTATGAAAAACAACAATGTAGTTTCTTACTGTGAAGGATTGGAACGTGACAAAGCAATCGTAACGACTAAAAACACGATTTCAGTCAACAATATAACCAACCTTCCTATTCTTACATAGATTTGTGGTGTGTCATCAAGTCAATATTTTATAATTGTTAAATGTATAAAAAAAGGAAATATTAGATATTTAATAGTTTTTTATGTGTACAAAGCTTCGGTTAAAAACGATTCAAGATAACATAAATTTGAATCTGCGTTGAAACAAAAATACACGAAAACAGCATTAATTTATTCTTAGCTGAGTTCCGCATTGATTTGAAACAGAGTACCTTATTTGCTCAAGAAATGCACTCAACATTTGGTTAATTGATCCATTTGTAGCTTAATTTCCGTAAGACAAATATTAGGAATATTTAATGTTTTTTTTTTAGGGTAGGAGAACGTTATACACTTCCTCACAGCATGAACGTCTGTCTGAAAAACCATTCCTATGAAGAATACTTATGTTAAAGTAAATGGTTGGATCCATCTCATTTGTTAATGTTTGGAAATCCTATTCGCTCAATGAGAACACTAATAAGCAAAGGACTAAAACAGTAAACCGACAGGTACATATTCTACCGGTTTCATTAATAATATTCATATCAGCTTTAGCTAGCTAGTCGGTTCAATCTTGATCTTTGCGTATTATTAAAAAGATAAATCACTTGCGACTGTAGCTAATGGTATGTTTTTGGGGGAGAGGTGGGGTGGAATGAAATTTCAAGATCACGTTTGTTAGACAGGAACCGTTAACAAATGTTTTACTCAAGTAATTGGAGAAATGGTAATCAAAATGTTTCATTGTTATTTTTCGTCACAGTTAGTCGGGATCAAGTAAAAATGATCATTTTTATTAATGAGAAAACAACAGAAGAGTTAAGCTGCAAAGGGTTTGTTTATTTGTAATTAAGCAAAAAGCTACACAATGGGCTATCTGTGCTCTGCCCACCACGGGTATCGAAACCCGGATTCTAGCGTTGTAAGTCCGCAGACATACCGCTGTGCTACTGGGGGGGGGGCAGCAAGCAAAGGAAGACGGTGAACACTATTTTACTTTAGCTGGATTATTTAGAATAAAAACAACCACGACTTTCAAACTAAAAGATTTCAACTTCTCACATATAATACGTTAATGATGATTCGGGTAGCTATAATCCAAGAACAAACTGTTTGTTCCTTATTATAAGAAACCAAGACTAAGTCCTTTATTATTATCCTCTATTACCTATAGAGAAACTAGGTTAGTTAGACAATAATTAAGAAAGCAGAGGACTAAATATCTGAGCGTACACAAGGTCTACAAGACTATGCTACTTGTACCCAACACTAGAGGACCTGAAGATTACTAAACTTATTTCATTCCTAAGACCCCAAATCCATATTTACGAAGCGCTTCAAAATTAGATAGTTTCCTTCGTATTCATTTTATATCGTGCATTATGATTATTTTTATTCATAAAAAAATGTGTTTTTTACGAAAGAAAAAAAAATATAATTTTGAGCTTCTGAACTACTTGAAAGTTACTCCTGAGTACGAAATGAAATAATAGAAATACCAATAATGTCTATTCAGTCATTAACGTAAGTTACAATCTAGCATTTAGTGAAACGAGTGTTTTATTTTGCTCCTTAGCGGTTTGAAAAGCTTCATTATTATCATATTTACACTCTTCCACCAATTTTGTTCACCGGTGTGTATCAGCAAAAAGTTTACGGACTTATAATGTTAAAATCCGAGAATTGATTCTCCTCAGTGGACAGAGCTCAGATAACCCATTGTGTAGCTCCGCGCTAAAAACAAATCCACCAATTTTAGTTTGTTTTTATAATAGATTTGCGAATGAGGTCACAATTAATTTGCCTGTAGAATGTTAATCTGTTTTGGTATTATTCTGGAAAAATGTTTCCTTGGAATTCGTAAAAAATCGTTGTTTGCTATTGGCTCAACCTGTATGAAACAGATTCATAACTATCACCTAAACAGATTCAACTTTTATCAGCAACTTCGAAGTGCTCTAATTCACAGATACATTCTGAAAATTGAAAGAAAAAATAATGGTTACATATAAATTTTTAAAACTGCTGTGAAGAAAAAGAAAATATTTGTTTTATTCTACTGTATCCAAAACTTAATTAACCAATTTAACAATAGGTAAAAACTTAACAAAAATGGAGTACATTCATAAATATCTATTGAGTAATCTATTAGTAATTCGTGTTCCTTGTTAATAACTCATAAGTAGCTACCAAACTATCGGTTTTCGTTACGGAACCTGGATTCAGAACTTATATTGAATGCGAGTTTAAATCTTAAGCGATTAGATTAAATAAACTCGTAAATCTAAGCTTCTTGGATCTCTGGCGAGTCTCTGTGTGGTTGGTTGTTTTTTTGTTGGCTTCTTCGGTGGTTACTTTTTACATATAAAAGCTCGATTATAATCAACTTAGTAGGAGAATACGTCTCTGTGCATGAAAGCTAAATTATCTGAGAATGATATAATTATTTCATGTTTCCTGAAGTGGACAAGACACATTGTTTAATGCCTTTTCCATAAAGATATCAAACACTATTATATATTACAAATCATAATGTATTAAAAATATTATCACTTAAAGCTACCGGGACATTACACAAAGATTAATCCATGTAGTAGCGGGAAAACAAGTTTTCTAAGCCTCTTACTTTTACTACTTATAGTACAGTATCAACAAAGAAAATTGTACAAATAGAGAACTGAATTAATACTCCAAGATATTCCATGGGAAGAAAAAACAGAATGTAGTAATCAATTTTTGGATCACCTATGAGTGGATTGAAACCAGAGCTGATCAGGCGAGGCCCCGCTAACCGAGCTAAAGGGTTAACACATTAGCTAATTCACACAACCACATCCTTCACATAGGGTCGTGGTACGATCACTCTAGTTAAGCGGCAACTTTTCGTGACATAATTCAAATTTTGCGGCATCACAACAAGCGATTGCTTTACCACCTGAGCTAAAGGTTAATCTGCTAGCTATTGTCAGTAATGGACTTTTTAACTAGTCATACAAACACATGTGCACATTGGCTTAATTGTTATGTAACTATGCCAGTTAGGGCAGTATGTTAGTTTTGTTAGCCTTGCTTTTTTGTTACAGGCAATTTAAGTTATAACAAGGTGTTATTTTATAAAGGTAAAAAGAATATTGTTTAATGATAGAACATAATCTTAAACTTTCTTCCTGTTAAAGTATTTTGTAAATTTTCTGAAGTTAAGTAACGCTCTAGCCAATATAAATATTTCACGCTACGAACAGGGATAAACCAAGAGTAATGGGATAATAGTTATTTGTATTTATGCATGTCTGTTTATTTATTACTGATAGTGTACATTGTTAAGCATAACAAAATGATCAAGGACATCGTCCAATCACTGTGTAGTAAAAATTAAAAAAAATATTATTTTATATTGTTTTTTTTTATTTAATAAAATAGAAGGAAGTCAATTTTTAGTGCAAAAAATCAGTCTATGTGTGTGTTGAGTATTACCTAAAAGTTAATAAAAATTCATCAACTTATTATGTGTTCCCATGTATTAGATGTCATTAATTTACCGAATTACTAGATTTGTTTGAGTTAATATAAGAAGATAATATCTTAAGACTGAATAATTTCAAAACATAAATATGTTTCGTATTAATTTGTGCTTAAAATCATAACTGTGGTGTTTACATTCTATTTTATTGGACTGATCCCTATTTAACTGTAGTAATGCAAAACGTGATATTCAATTCAACTCATTCTGTCACAACTTTCCATGTGTTACTTGCAGGGTTAACCGTCTAACCTTAATAAGAAAGTATTTGGACTTTTAACCTTAACAATATCAAAATCACCTATAAATCAATTCAAACTGTATCTACTTACAATACGTCAAATAAGTGATATAACAATTCTTTGAAATTCAGCACGCTATTACTCTTCAAATAAAATCTATCGATACAGTCTTGGGCCTAATGCTTATTTAATTGCGTAACAATCAAGCGAAACGATTAAGATATAGTACGAAGTAATAGAAATTAGCTCCAGAAGCTAGTGGTGTAATATGCCAAAATTATTTTAGAAAATTTGTCTATGAGAAAAAAAAAGTTACTACCCTTATTTACCATAATTCTAGAAAGCTCTAGAATCAAACCAATCATCAGATTTATCACAATAAATAATCTCCGCGAAAGGCACCTTTGTCATTTAAGCATTATTAAACAGAAATTTTGATTGGGCGAAACAAGGTGCTGAAGTATATCAAATATAGTTTTAAGTCGATAACCTGGATGCCAACGTTACTTTGTTTTATTATTTGCTTTAGCTGTCTAACTAAAAACAGAGAAACAAAAATGCCTTTCGCTTTTATGTATATAAACACGTCATAGTGACCACGTATCAACGAAACACGTTTATACAGTGTTGATCACCGGATACTTCATGAGAGATTCTAATGAAGGTGTTCATTCTAAAAGCATATAAAGAGAGGTAAGATACAAGGAGGCTTTTGGAACACGCTAATAACATTGAAAAGAATTATTACAGCAGATAAAATATACTACACTGAATTAGCAATAAAGATAATTTAACATCGAAGTATTCACTTTTCTTAGCAGCAATTAAAATTGCGTCATCCTTTTTGTTTTAATCTTATAATTACAATGAGATTCATAAAGCTTCACTTGACTTAAAACATTACATATACATACGTCTTCACGTCGTGTAACTCAGTAAACATTGCAGTATTTATTCTCTCTTTTTTTTTTGTTTTAGCTCTGTCCGCTAGAATCAACAGACTGTGTAATATTAAAAATTGAGTCATTAAAGAAGATGCATTTAATCATTACTGGTTCAAACAACATATCTCATGTGTCTCTTCTTAATCCATCTCTTCATTCTGCATTTGGTAATTACTGAAGAAGTTGTTGAACCTGCTGAACTTCGGCGTGTTGAGTTTCTTTGTGACGTCGGAGATCAACCTTCCTCTGAAAAGCGCGTCCACAAACGTCGCAGGAGAAAGGCTTGTAGCCGGTGTGCTTTCTGCTGTGTGTGATCAAGTTGGACGACTGACTGAAAGCTTTACCGCATATCCCGCACTTATGGGGTTTTTCTCCTGTGTAAAATATATAATGTGTGAAGAGTCTTAATTCATTTTCTGAAACCTACAGGGCAATAAGTAGCATTCGTGAATTATTATTAAGTAGATATATAATCAACCAATCGGTGGTGAAATGATCACTTTACTATTCATTCTTACACAGACGAAAAAGCAGGAGGTATACGTAATTTAAAAGCCACACTCATTAATTAAGCGTTAAAATAATTATAGCACAGTTATAATAAGAAGGTAATAATTCTAAAACACACACACACACACACACACACATCAGTTTGAATGTATAAAATAAATTATAGAATGGCAAATAATTTTGTCTCTTTCTCTCTCTTTTATTGTGTATAAATCATTCTTTCACTGACCTGTATGGATATAGGTATGTTTCTTCATGTCCGACTTCTGGTGAAACCTTTTGCCACAGTACTGACAAGGGTAAGGTCTGGTATCGGAGTGAATCAGCAAGTGAGTGGACAGAGTGGACGACCTCTTGAACGACTTGCCGCACTGCTTGCATTCGAAACTCTTCTCTGCAGTGTGGATAGCACGATGCTGACTCAAGCTTACTTCATGGCCAAAAGTTTTATTACATAGTTCACAGGCAAAGGGCCTTTTTCCGCTATGAGACCGCCGGGCATGCACTTCCAGGCCATGGGGAGTACTAAACATTTTGTTACATTTAACGCAAGAGAAGACGTCCCCAACAGCCATAGGCTTAACCACAGTGTCAGGCTCAGAACCTACAGAAAACCCGGACTTACTGGAACAGGGAGCTGCAAGACTGTAAAAAGGAAATCCAAAACAAGCGGATATTCCTCCTGGAAAAGGACGAAACATTTTTTCGTGGGCTGACAACGTGAGTCCACCCGGATCTTGAGTTCCCAGACCAAGTAAAGGGGACGTTGAGGTGGAAGGTCCGCGAAACAGAGGTGTTTGGTGGGATTCTGACAAGAAAAACGAGCTAGATGGAAACTCGGATGGCCAAGAGGCTAAGCCTAATGGTCGATAATCAGGCCTAAAAATTGAGTCAATAAGAAGGGAGCGGGCTTTACTTGAAGATTCTTCTAATGTGGTCGTAGTTCTGGACGTATCACCCTTGTTACCTAAAACAATAATTCAACATAAAATTCACACATAAGAATTTCTTTCTACAGACACTCATATCACAATGTTGCCTCAGTATATATATTAACAACACCCTCTGCTTCTTATAAATCAATTCACTTGGTTGTAAGAAAATATTTTCTTTCGCGATATTTGTAGCAGCAAGGTTTTTTTTTTAGTAACAAGTTGCCTAAACATTATTGATCGCCTCGGTGTCGAACATTGTTTGTTACAAATGTATTCGTTAAATGTTACAATTTTCACACGAGAGTATGAAACGGTTATCGCTCAACAGCATTGGTTAACTATCATTAACAACTTGATTTTTACTGAAATATATTTACTTGGCTTAACTCTTAATACCTTGCACGTATTTGCTTATTACAATGATTGATTTGTTTTTTTTTGTATTAGTGCAAAGCTACACAAAGGATTGGCTGTCCATCGCGGGGAATCGAACCCTGGATTTTAGCTTTGTAAGCTCAAATACTTGTTGATGGCCCCTCCCGGACAATTAAAAAAGAGAGATAATCTTAAACTTTCTAGTGGACGTTACTTTATTACTGTAAAGGTGCTAATTGTTAGTTTGTTTTTGAATTTCGCGCAAAGCTAATCGAAGGCTATGTGCTCTAACCGTCCCTAATTTAGAATCGTTAGACTAGAGGGAAGGCAACAAGTCAATACTACCCATCGCCAACTATTGGGCTACTCTAATCGAATAGTGGGATTGACCATCACATTATAACGCCTCCACAGTTGAAAGGACCATAATATTAGGTGATGGGATTTGAATGTGCAACCCGCAGGTTGCGAGTCGAGTGCTCTAACCACCAAGCCATACCAGTCACTTATGGATTAGTCTGTGTTAAATTTGATCATAATTGGAATAAGATACTTGGCTACCTTTAGTTAAATGCTATTTGGCTTGGCTATCTTTAGGAATATTTGTTGACTATCTTGAGAAATATCCCTGCCAATCTTTAGAACTGATTCAGGACTGCCTTCAGTGCCCCTGTGAGGCCGCAGGGGGTACCAAGTCGTCGGGACCTAATGGGTACTTCGATGGTGTCAAATATTCTGAGTTATCTTGCTTCAGTTAAAGCATATGATATAGTAAATATAAAATATTTTATAACTATTGTACTAATTCAGTACGAGAAGTAATTGCCAATTTAATTTCACTTAGTTGCCAAAAGTGTATAATAATAATGATTTGTTTGTTTGTTTTGAAAACAAAGCCGCATTGGGCTAATTGTTGTGTCAACTGCGGGGAAACGAACCTCGGATTTTAGCTTTGACACTTGTACATTTCATGTATATGAGATGTTATGATTGTTTCGTTTTATTTATCGTATTTTACATAAGTGTTTGACAGTACACCTATCCCAAATAATATACCTATAACTATTACTGCAAACCAAGTTATCACATACGCAAATCAATGACGTCACAGATCAGATATGTGGTAGCACGTTTGAGAGCCGTCTCGAAAGTCAGTGTTCTAACGTTCCATGGTAGGGGAAATGTTATAAAGAAAGCGTGCGTGGAACAGTTTGAAAGTGATTCAGAAATGATAAGGGCAAAAGTTGCAAAAACAGAAGTAGCCAAGCGAAGAATTCCAAACGAGAAATAGCTTAGGGTGGAGGAATAAAACAAGTATTAAATTAATCAATAATTAAAATTTATTACTAATGATTTAAATTAATGTTTATTTACAAAATGGGTGAGTGGTAAGAAAATATTGCAATGTTTTCTTTCTCCTTTAATTTTTTTGTTGGCAAGGAAATGCAGCTGACTGAACAGGATTCTTTCTTCCAAGCAATATACCTTTTCAAAAATGCTCTAGAATCTCACAAGGAAAACATTTCACGTATGGAATGCTTCAAAAATAAAAGAAATGAGAACTTCAGCTGGAAACTTATTCGACGTTAAATAATAGAGCTCAAATTTAATCGAAATTGAACGGCAGAATTAGCATATATATTTAACAGGATAATTGCAATAATTATGTATTTGGCAAAAAGAAATCAAGCTTTTCGCGCAACTGTTAAAAGCGTAAGCCACCTTAGAACCATTTTTTAAACCCAAGTAGAACTGATGCCAAAGTTTAATTCCATAATCAATGAACATTCTCAAAGATTCACAGAAACGAAGTAAGTCTTCAACATTTTAGCCTTGAGTTAATACATCTTTTCTCAAAATAAGTCAGTAATGAAATTCTGAAAATTCAACATCTGAAATAGCATTCTATAATGGCCAGTTGACTAAGCCTCTGACGTAAGTTATCAAGAACAGCTGTCAGAAGTTCTAAGAACGGTGAATATCCAAGGAACGGAGATAAATGTTGAAGAAGATTTCATTCCCTTCATTTAATGTTAAGGCGACACTTGGAACTGCTCTATTAGAGGTGCCCCCCAGTGGCACAACGGTAAGTATGCGGATTTACAACGCTAGAAACCGGGTTTCGATACCTGTGGGGGGCAGAGCACAGATAGCACATGGTGTAGCTTTGTGCTTAACTTCAACCAACCAACCAACTATTTGAAGTTATTCTTGAAGAGATTGAAAACATGGAATACAACTCAAAGAATGCTAACAGTGTTAAAAAAGACCAACACGAGGTTGTGCAATCCAGGTTGTTGCAGTTAAATGAAATGACAGTTTTCTTTCCTTGTGGCTGTCACTTTTTGTACCTTATACTATGTGATGCTGTAGATTCTTACAATTGGTAAAAAAAGTTTTTTTTCGGTTTTCTTTAAAGAATATATACTGTTGTTGCAGCATAAACTAGCAAATGTAGTATTTTGAAGTCCTTTGCAAATATCACTCTATACCCTAAATGTGAGTGTCAAATTGAAAGTGTAAAAACGGTAAGATACCAAGAGAAAGATATATTGAAGGCCTTGATGAAACTAAATGAAACTATAACGGATATTCAACCTATTCCGAAGCTAGATCATTAGCAGCTGAGATGTCATCATATAAATGTCTAATTTATTTAGCAGTTTGGCATGATGTTTTTGTATGAATAAATATATTCAGTAAGAATTGCAGAGCCCATCTATGTAAATTGATATTGCTAGAAATGTAAGCAATGTCATACGAAGACTCTTTTTTTTTTCAAACCAAAGAAGAGTTGTAAAGATGCCACGACAATTGCTAAAGAAGTGTCATGATTCTTAATAGTTGTTCAAGAATTACCATCAAAGACTCGAATTAGACAAAGGAAGCTCCCTGCTAGTTAAAAATTTCAGGATGAGTCAATCACTGCTGCACAACAATGGTTCAAAACGTTTTTTTATATTCTAAGGAACTGTGCTTTCATGAAAATTGGAGACAAGTTTGAGTTGTTTCGAGATTACATCTTAATATTTGGAACCCTATGCCACGTTTATGCAATTCAAAATGTAGTGCCCAATGCACAAGTAAAATCGTTCATGGATTTAGCTGTAGCACGATGGAGCTGAGTCACATATTAACGGAATTGATTTAGCAGCGGTTGAGCTAGCAACAATGCTCCTACACATTTGGTGCCCCTGGCACACTGCGTTTTATTTACAAAAATGATTTAGCAGTAGTATCTCCCAATGTGTACATTGCTCTTAGGGCGTTGCTCACAGCTCCGCGAACTGTTGCACCTGTTGAGAGGAGTTTTTTCAAAGTTATAAACCTATTTGACATCGTAGATGTTTCAGGAGCATCTCGCAGGGGTCGCTGCTGTGCCCATAGAAAGAGATGTTGCAAGAAAGTTGAATTTCCAAAAAGTTGTCCAATAATTCGTAAAAAAGAGAAATCCAGAACTAAGTTGGAACATTCTAATAACTACGTAAAAAAAGAAGGTGAATGCGAAAATTTATATTTCTTAATATGTATGACAAATGTTCCACTTTCACTCCAAACTCAGGTACTTCGGTATTGGTTCTCCGCTGGGACAGAGGTAAGTTTACGAACTTACAACGCTAAAATCTGGGTTCGATTCCACGCGGTGGACACGGCAGATAGCACAATGTGGCTTTGCTCTAAAACTAACAAACAATCTTGGGTATTGAAAGCAACCCATAATTAAATAACTTGCTGGAGGCTAGAAATTTGTCGCAACTGTCATGAACATATCCTTATGAAACGTTTCTTATGAAGCTGTAGAGAACGTTACTTGCCTATCTTTATAAAAGAAGCTTCCTGGTTATCTTGAAAGTTTTTTAACAAACATATTAACTACCGACAGAAAAAAGCTTTGGCTTTCCTTATAAAATAATAGCTGACCATACTCGTCCAACTCATGGGGAAGATATAAAGGCCACCAGTGGTTGATAATGGGAGAGTAAGATCTGAACGCAAACTCATCTATGTCACTTTCTGGGGATGAGGGGGACTTAGGCTACATGTCAGGTACGGTTACAACCGCCAGTTATAAGCGGACACAAAAACAAACAGACTTATGCCAGATAGTGGTTTAATTTATTTAGCTGTTTTCATAATATCCTATTCCACTATTTTTAGACAATGTTACTTGTCTACCTTCAGAACACATTACTTGATTATTAAAAACAGTTGTTAGGTTATTTTAGGAGAATTATATCTGTAGCTGTTACTTGGTTTTGTTTAGAAAAGTTTATTTATGCATTTAGAAAAGTTTTACTTAGATATCCACAAAATATTATTTTAAAAGACGCTATTTAACTTGCTGTATAAAACTTTGTTTACAGCAGTTACTTGACAATTAACAATATATAAAAAAATTAGCTATCTGTCTATAAAGCATTTAATAGAAACAGTTCTAGAAAATATCACTATCTTTATGGGCTGCATGTTTTATCTATGTTTATACAGTTGAAGATTATTCAATGGTTTCCCTTAACGCTATGCCAGGTGGATAAGGCGCTCGACTCACAATCTGAGGGTCGCGGGTTCGAATCTGCATCCCACCAAACATGCTCGCCCT